GTCTGCAGCCTCTAGAGACCATGTGGCCATCCCAGCCTCCCTCACTTTTCTCTCTCCCCTTTCCTCTTTGTCTCTTTGTCTCGCATTTCTTCTTTCTCTTCCTGCCTCTCTTCCCCAACCTCTCCGCTTTAACCTTCTCCTACGGGGGTTCATAGAGCAGATGGAGGTCAGTGGTTCCAGAGTAGGCTGGGGTTCACTTCTAGTGACAGGGTATAGGGGGTGTTGAATGAGGAGCAGATTGCGGGGTTTAGGAGTGCACTGGGGTTCTCTGGAAACATCCAGGTGGTGACAGATGGGGCGGGTGTGATGAAGTGATTTGGAAGTTCGCGAGTCACCAGGAGTCAGTGGAGAAATGGAAGGAACAATGTATACTTGGAGAGGAGTTGATGTACAGATTTGAGGTCAGCAGCTTGACTGTTGGGAGGGTGAGTGATTATTTGGGGGTTTCAAGAAGTGAATGAAGGTGGAGGGTCCTGAATTGAAGAGGGAAAGTTGGCATATTTTGAAACCTGTGCTTGGTAGAGACGTTGGGTGGATCCAGGACCGGATGAGTGGATTGTTCAAGTCAGGGCGGGCTGTGTGTGGGGCAGGAAAAGGCTTATTATAAGGATAAACTGAGGGTTCCTGGGAGGCTGGGTGTCTACTGGGTAAAGACCAGGAGCTATCGGTCTCAGCACAAGCCTGGCCCTGTGAGTTTGTTTTTCTCTCCCTTTCCTCACCCTGTCCCAGGCTGCAAGATTAAGGCGTTGAGGGCCAAGACCAACACCTACATCAAGACTCCTGTGCGGGGCGAGGAGCCCGTGTTCATGGTGACAGGGCGGCGGGAGGACGTGGCCACCGCCCGGCGGGAAATCATCTCAGCAGCGGAGCACTTTTCCATGATCCGCGCCTCCCGCAACAAGTCAGGCGCGGCGTTTGGTGTGGCCCCTGCTCTGCCAGGCCAGGTGACCATCCGGGTGCGGGTCCCCTACCGCGTGGTGGGGCTGGTGGTGGGCCCCAAGGGGGCAACCATCAAGCGCATCCAACAGCAGACCAACACGTACATTATTACGCCAAGCCGCGACCGTGACCCAGTGTTCGAGATCACCGGGGCCCCGGGCAACGTGGAGCGTGCGCGCGAGGAGATCGAGACACACATCGCGGTGCGCACGGGCAAGATCCTCGAGTACAACAATGAAAACGACTTCCTGGCTGGGAGCCCTGACGCTGCGCTTGATAGCCGCTACTCCGACGCCTGGCGGGTGCACCCCACTGGCCGCCA